GCTATTTAAGTGTAATAGAAAAATGAATGAATTAATTTACATTTTATTTTTGAATTTTATATGTATTTTAAATAAATGATTTACCTATTTTCTCTTTTCTTGTTGTAATTGCTCTACTTATTGCTTGAAGAAGTGTATCTGCAAGAGAAGGTTGCCCAGATCTAACAATAGCAACAATAGACATAAGGTCTTCAAGGTCTTTACAATTTAACATTATTTTAAGTTGAACCATAAACATCATATCCATTTCTTGAAAATATCCAAGACTCATAAAAGAAAAGAGTATTCTTGATTTCATCCTAAGCCATTCAACCATTTTTAATAATACTGCATCAAATATTTTATATTCACCTCTTTCAAGATTACTTATTAAAACTTTACGCCAATCAGTAAAAAGATTTGTTCCATCTATTATTTCCATACCTGATGGTGAAACAATCATAGACCGTTCCATATTACTATTAAATATACTAAGTAACATTGAAGAACGTTGTAAGAAATAATCATATGTATTAACTTCTTCTGATAAATAAACTTCTCCATTAGTTAAATCTATAACACAATATGGAAATCCCATAAGTGTTTCAAGTGAATTAGGTATTTCCATCATAAAAGAAACATCAATTAATGGATTAAGAACAGAAACGATAGAATGTCCAAATACAGTCTTTGGTTTATAAATACTAATAGTATTAAAAGGAGATAATAACCTTCTTATTCCATTAAGATTTCTACCATCAGCAGGAATAACAATAGTAGTAAATGACATTAAATGACCATAAAGGATATTTTCTATTATTTCATTAGAACATTCCTTAACAAAAGAAAATTGTCCTTCTAATTGAATTCTGTTATTTTCTTCTAAATCAGTTTGAGAGTTAGTATCTATCCCAACCATAGGTTGTTCTGATAAACGACTTAATTTTCTTCTTAATAAAATTTTACCAGGCGTTTGTGTTATTCTTTGAGTTGGGAACTGATCTTCATCCATACTAAAAGTTAATTCAGACTCTCCTGATAAATTAAGACTAGAATAACTTAAATTTAAAGCTTCTTGAGATAAAAGTAATGAACAATGCTCAGAAGGTTTTCTTTTTAATCTATTTTTCTTGTCTTTTTCAAAAGTTTTAAGATTTTCTAATCTTTTTCTATAATCAATATCAATAGTAACAATATATTCTTCTAAACATTGAACAAATGACTGTAGTCCAATTAATAATGTCGCTTGACTACTATCACCTTTTCCTTGAGTAGCAATATGTTTTTGAACAAAATTCCACATAAATAAATTAATCATATCATAAATTTTTTCATAATTTATTTCTCCTTTTTCTGGAAGTAAAAATCCAATACTAACTGAAATAAATCCATTTCCTGTAGTTTCTATGAATGGAACCATAACTGAATAAATTAAATGATCATATTTTACTGAATCAAATTCAATTGTTCCATAATCATATAAATAATACATTGGTACCATTTGTTGCATTAGTTTTAATAAATCATTTGTTTTACTACAACACGTCTCTAATAGTGGTTGTTTTCTAATATACTGTTTGATTACATACCCTTGAATTAATTCATGCATTGTTTGAACTCCATGTGGTCCAGTGTATCGAAGATCAATACGTGACATTGAAGTAGAATAACTGAAAATATTAATAAGTGTTAAATACTTAATTTTTACTGCAGGAGCAAATTGGTTAACTGTAATTTAGTGTATTTATTATTTTTTAGTAAATAAATAAACATTAGTATAAAACAAACTTGATATTTTCCATGGTACTCTAGTTAAATATAATCCATCACAATGTTCCTGAAGTATTTTAAACATTTGTGACCATAAAAATCCCCAAAATTCATAAATATCTTTTAACTTTTGTTGCTTTTTCTTATTAGAGAATATTGTTTTCTTTGCTATAGATGGTGATCCAACAAATAAATCAGAAGAAGAACGTGATACATTATATAAGCTTTCACTCATTTTTGAATTTTCCAGACTTCGAGAATTTAAAAATTGTTTTTTAGACTCTTTAAAATAACAAAAATAATAATGATAACTTTTGTTATTCTAATGAAAGAAAAATAGAACTCAATGGAATTTTCTAAAACGTATTTTAGAAAAATTTCAAACTTTAAAAACTTGAAAACTAAAAGAAGAAAATGAGTTGTTTATTCATTTTTGTACTTCTTGCTATTGCAAATGCTGAATGTGGTGAACGTAAATTAAAAAAGTTTCTTATTGTATTTAAAGATTGTGAAAATTATTATGATTCATGCGATTGTTTGAAACGAAAAGAATATTACTTAAAAGAAAATGAATGTAACGAAACTGAAGAATATAAACAAGTAAGTTCTGCTCTTCAAAGTTGCAGTGGACCAAATGAGGGTTTGTTTATTTTATATTTAAAGTAACTTTTATTCATTGTAAATAGGAAGTTGTTTGTATCAAAAAGATTATGAGTGTAGAATTGTTCATAGTGGATGTCTTGATGTTGTTGCACTTGGTCTTGGTGGATCAAAACAACATTGTCTTGAAAAATTTGCAGAGTGTTTAAAGAATGTTCATTGTGAAAACTTACCAATGTACCAACAAGCCTCAGAAATTCTTGCTCATCCAGAGCAATATGCTGAACAATTAAAAACTGTTCCGCAAAACAAAGATTCTAACCACCAATGGCAGATCAACCAAAAGAAAACCAACCAAAAGCTGAGTTATAATTTAACTAATTCCAATAACATTCTTTTTATTTAACATTTTTAGAATTTATATGTTATATTTTTCTTTTCTTTACAAAACTTAATAGTATTTATAATTTATGAATAATAATTTTCTTTTATCAATAAATAATAATAAATATGTCATTTCCCAATTTGATAAAAATGCTGAGGAAGAAAGAGAAAAATGTTACTTTTTATAACAAAAATAGAATTTAATGAAAAATAAAAAAACTATACAAAAACTATAATCATATAAAAACAAAAAAAAAACGAAGAAAAAAAATTTTAAATTTAGTTCATTTTGATTGAAAATGGAAGGAGAGACAGAGTGTATGTATAAATTGGTGATTATAGGAGAGAGCGGTGTTGGCAAATCAAATTTGTTATTAAGATTCACACGAAACGAGTTTGAACCTGAAAAAAAATTTACTATTGGAGTTGAATTTGCCACACGTACAATTGAGTATGAGGGTAAAACAATTCGTGCTCAAATTTGGGATACTGCTGGACAAGAAAAATACAGAGCTATTACTGATGCCTATTACAGAGGAGCAGAAGGAGCAATGTGTGTTTATGACGTATCAAAGAAAGATAGTTTTGATGCAATAGAACGATGGATGAATGAACTAAAAAATGGTTGTGATTCAGATATCACTATTATGATTGTAGGTAATAAAGCTGATCTTAAACAAGAACGTGAAGTTAATACTTCAGACGGTACTGAGTTTGCTCAAAAACATTCAGCTTTCTTTATTGAAACTTCTGCTTTAGAAGGGACAAATGTAGAAAAAGCATTTTCTGATTTATTGATACAAATTTATAAAAAGAAGAATGCAACTCTTAAAAATGATTCTGTTCCTTCTGACAATTCAAAACCCAAGACAGAAGAAAAGGTAGACATTAGTCAAACTCAATCTGCTCAAACTCAAGGTGGTAAAAAGTGCTGTTAACAAAAGAAAGATTTATTTACTTTTCTCATTAAATCTTTTGAAATATTTTTTTATCTTTTCATATTATTTAACAAAACTAATTAATAAAGTTATAAATAATAAACTGTACTTATAGCATTCTATTTATTCCATTTGAACGACAATAACTCTTCTTGTTGTAAATTCTGTAGGGTGATTAGTTCCTGTTAAGGTTAGATTTTGAATTCCTTCATAACTTTGAGAAAGGTGACAACAGTCACTCTTCTTTTCTCCAATAGCACGAATACCCATTGACCCTCTTCCAAGTTCAAAACTTCCAATTTGATAAAGTCTAGTATCATTTTTCTTTTCTTTTTTATTAACTTCTGCAAAAATAGTAACAGCACAATCATATTGATTTTTCTTAGGAAGAAAACGGATCGGAGTAACTACTCTTCCATTTGCATTTAATGAAAACAAAAAGTGATCTTTATCTTTAACAAAGACATTAATTTTAGTTATTTGTTTCTTAACAAATGCCCCAAATACGTTACCCTGATCATCAAAATTAATGAAAAACAAATTACTTC